AGCTAAGGCTTTAGCTACAGTGGCTGCAATTCCTAATCTGCTTATTGCCCAGTCGAAAATTTGGTTGCCCTGAGATGCTGAAATGAACAGTTATATGCAGTAACTTTACCTTTCATTCATTTTCTATGTATGATGTACAAACTTGTTACCAGATTATTTTTTATATAGGAAAAAAGCCGATGGGTATTAAGTGAGGAAGGTAAAATGAGGAAGAAGAAGAAGAAGAAGAAGAAGAAGAAGAAGAAGAAGAAGAAGAAGAAGAAGAAGAAAGGCGGGTAAATAGTTTGGGGAGCATGGGTATGAACAGCAAATAGTTTGGGTCTGGACATTAAAGGATAAATAGTTTAGAATTAATGGGTATAGAGTAAGATTTTCTCAACAATATATTCGTATTAGCCATATCATGATAAAGTTCCTAAAAAGGTCAAAATTGGCCTTTACTGTTGATCAAACCTCGTCTAGGATACTTAGTTGTTCAAGCATACAACTATAAACAAATTTATTATAGTTTTAAATCAAACATAAGTTTAATTAAGTAACACTATTATCCGATTCTTATACAATGAACCAAATATCCGATAAAAATAATTTACGTATTATAATCTCTACGCTACTAATTCATACATCATAATCCATGCATACAACAATAACAACATACCTAGTATAATCCCACACCATGGAGTTCGGGGAGGTTAGTGTGTACGCAGACCTTATCCCTACGGCCCTACCTTGTGAGGATAGAGAGGTTGTATTTAATAGACCCTTGGCTCAGGAAAGCATAAGCACCACATCAATGAAAATATAGACGAGAAGAGACAGTACCAAAAAGTCGTATAACAGCAAAATAAAAACAACAAAAAAGTAAGGTGATCATAATCCTTGCATACCTTGTATATATATATATATAACGACTCTAAGTGTGAAACACTCAAAAGCCAGGGCCAGGGCATTATATATACACAAACTATCTTCAGAAGGTGAGAAACAATCAAAAGCCATCTCTCTCTGTTCTTGTAAAGAAGAGAGTAAGTAGGAGAGAAACATATCCAGCTTTAAATTCAGGTAAAGGATAAAAGGTGGTATTTTTTTACTTTTGAGGTAGTATTTCTTTTCACTAATATCTATCTTTACTTAGTTTCAGTAGTTTACAAATTGGCCCTCTGCAATAATTAAAGTATAAACAGGAAACTAAACTACTACAGTTAGTCTTAACTGGGTTTTTGGGTTAATTGGAGTTTTGTTTCAGATAGATTATGGTTAGTTCCCTAATATATGAAGCATTCGGTCTGGGGACACATTTATCCTTAGCTGAAGGGAGTTTTGGAGCAGCGGTAAAGTTGTCTCCGTGTGATCTATAGGTAACAGATTCGAGCCGTGGAATCAGCCATTGATTCTTACATTAGGCTAGGCTGCCTACATCACACCCCTAGGGTGCAGCTCTTTCCTGGATCCTGCATGAAGACAGGATGATTTGTGCACCGGGCTGCCCTTTCTTTCCGGTTGTTGAATTGTTGTCTGTTATTTGCAAAGCAAACTTAATTGTTGCAGATTCGCGGCTGAAGAACAAAAATGGGAGCTGGTGGTATTATGTCATCTTCAACAACTAAAACTAAGAAAAATACTCTCCAAAGAGCTCCATCTTCAAAGCCCCCTTTTACAATTGGTGACATAAAAAAGGCTATCCCTCCTCACTGCTTTCATCGATCTCTTGTTCGTTCGTTCTATTATCTTGTTCAAGATCTCATATTTGTTTCCATCTTTTACTACATCGCCGCCACTTACTTCCATCCCCATACGTCCCCGTATGGTTACATAGCATGGCCGGCTTACTGGATCGTTCAGGGTTGTGTTTGCACAGGAATATGGGTCATAGGTCATGAATGTGGCCACCACGGCTTTAGTGAATACCAATGGGTAGATGATATTGTTGGTCTCATACTCCACTCAGCACTTTTAACGCCATACTTCTCATGGAAACATAGTCATCGTCGTCACCACGCCAATACTTGTTCCATGGAGAATGATGAAGTCTACATACCAAGGCTTAAATCAAAAGTAAGATGGTACTACAAATACTTGAATAATAGAGTAGGACGAGTACTCTATTGTGAATGGCTTTATAGTGCTAATTACTCTTTTGCACCACACGCACTCTTCATTGCCACATTATGATTCGTCCGAGTGGGATTATTTAAGAGGAGCTTTAGCTACGGTAGATAGAGATTTTGGTGTGTTGAATAAGGTCCTCCATAACGTTACAGATACTCATGTTTTGCACCATATATTCTCATATATACCGCATTACCATGCAATGGAGGCAGCCAATGCTATAAAGCCATTATTAGGGGATTATTACCAGATAGATGATACCCCAATTTTGAAAGCATTGTGGAGAGATACAAAGGAGTGCATCTATGTCGAGAAAGAAAAAGGATCTCAAGACAAAGGTATTTATTGGTATAGAAACAAGCTTTGAAAGTTGAATACCAAGAACTATTTTGTTGGAATTGGTTTAATGCTAAGCCTCATTAATTGTAAGTCTCTGAATGATTTGTTTTCTTGTACTGTATAGTTACATAATTAAGCTCCTGTGTATCGTATTATATTGTTAAATCCGTTCTTACCTAACAAAGCAAATGTCTATTTTACGTAACAACCTATTTGATATGAATGGATTGTTATGTTATTCCCTCCGAATGTTGTTATGTTCACTATCTAACACGATGTCAGAGCAAATTTTCACGTTATTATTTAACTTTCTTTAGTTTTTAATAGATTTGGATGGGTATATATTCTCTAGTACTTGTACTTTATATTGATATTTGAGAGAAATTTTGGATTTATTTTTATGTGTTGCTAAATCCAACATTTACGGTAACTAAATGCACCTTAAAAACCTAATCAGTTAATGAAAATATATAAGATACAATCACAGTGGTGTTTAACCAAAAAATAGGTTTTTAGTCAAAACCAGAAATTTAGAAGAACACGGGTTACTAATAATCAGAAAAGAATATAAAGAAAGACTTTTGAGAGCAATATGATTAGAAAGCAAGTAAATCAAAGTGTATTCCAATAATATTGTGTCTTACAAGTGTTTAACATCCTCCTTTTTATAGTAATTTTGGAGGTATGTGCCTTACCCTTGTCATAATAGGGCTATTATGAGCAATTAATGACATTAAATGAAGCGTTAAACAATCATTACATTAAACAAATATTCTCTAACGTTTTTAGTATTTAATATGCATTAAATACTGTATCTGGTCTTTCACAGGCTACCAGATTCATTCCCTTAATTCCCCTTGATCTTTGTGCTTTAAATGTCTTGAATAGGTACGGGCTCTGCATCACCTGAGTAATTGCCCGTGCCTCTTCCACTACCTTTGCTCGCATCTGTTGTTGCTCGTGTCTCTTGGCTAACTTTAATTCTTTGACTGTTTGACTGATCCACGTGTCATGACACGTAATCTTCAATATGTAAACTCGATTTTTCCCAATACAGATAGTCCTCCTACTTTCCATTTATTCATCAATTGAATATTTGGGAAGTGGATTCTCATTAAAAAGGGAATTTCTATCATTATTAATGCTATGACAAGATTGACGCTTCAATTGTCTTTTCCATTTAATGCTCCGTCCACGTATCATTCCCTCATTGACTCTGCAGTTTTGCAGCCCTTTTCAAGGCTTTTTTATGCCTTCACTGTTCACAAAGTGCCAGTTACCTTTATTATAGGCTTGCCATCATTACGCTTTTTCCTTTGACGGTTGTTCTCTAATATAAATATAACTTCCTTTCTTGTCTTCTTTCACATAAAGTTTTATTGAACACTTTATTTTTCCCAATACTGTTTACTTCTTCTTCATATCGATCTTCTTCATCATGTCTTCTTCAAACCCTAACCCTAGGAAAGCTCCTATTTTAGATAGCTTTCCCAATGCCCTTGTTAGACATAGAAGAGGTAGGGGTGGTAGACTTTGCAGTTTTGGGTCCACCCGTGGTAGTTCTGGTTCTTCTGTGCCTTCCTCTAGTTCTTGTCTTGTTTCTAGAACTAGAGGTTCTTTTACTCAAAGATCGTCTTCTAAGGGTAAGGAACCCTCTAAACCACTACAAGAACCCTTGGTAGAAGAGATAGTCCCTAATGGCTTATCTTTCCACCAGGACAGACAATCACTTCAACTCCAAATTTCTGGCTTAGATCATGCTGATATTTATCCCACCATGATTACAGAGGTTTTATCTTCCATGGTTCGCAAAGATTGCCATTGGAGCAATGGTTTTCCCATCACAATTCCCAATCCTAATCAAAGAATTTTCTCTTACAAGACTGGACTTTCTTTCATTTATACTTACCCCTCTACTCTTGATTTAAACCAGCTATTGATCCAGTTATTCTAGATTTTTGCCGTTTCTTCAAAGTTTGTTTAGCACAGATTGGTCCTCTTGTTTGGAGAGCAGTAGCTTGTTTAAGACATTTGTCTAACAAGGAAGGTGTTGATTTTTCCTTCCCCTACCTTATTCATCTCTACTCCCCTAGGCTTTTCGCAATGGTGTTTTTACCTTAGTAGCGAGGAGTAAATGGGTTTTGGTAAGCCCTGAAGATGATAAGGATAGTGGCTGGTACGCCCGATTTGTTGTTGTCCCCACAGTTGGTTTGGTGGGTAAAGAAAATATTCCCACTACAAGAAATTGAATTTTTAGCAGCGACATATAGCAACGACCCTATAGGTTGCTACAACAGCTATATTATTAGCAGCGACATCTAAAGTCGCTTCAGAAGGTTACTTTTAAGCAGCGACTTATTTTGGGTCGTCGCCTCTAATATGGCTGAAATTTTCAGTCCCGCTAAAAATAAAATTTTGGCTCCATAATATTTGTGGCGACTATAGAAAAGTCGCCCTAAAAGTATCTGGCATTTTTACATTTAAAATAATAAAGAAAATAAAAATTGAATAAGCTAATTAAAACTTGTTTGTGGAACAGAACCCACAAAGCTTCAAGTGAAACAACAGAGGAGCAAAACTCTCTCGAGAATATCGGCTGCTCTCTCTCTCTCTAAAAATTAACTCAGGTTTTCATCTAAAATTTCATCCAAATCAAAACCCCACAAAACAAAATGTGAATCTCATTTGTCAGGTATGTTCAAATCCCTAATCTTTTCATTTTTTTGGGGAAAGAAGTTGATAATCGATCGATTTCGTGTTGTGGCGGAAGAATCAGTAGAAAACGCTACTTTGTTCTTCACGATCACCTTCTCAAGAGCTTCAAATCAGACCCTGTTTTAAACAACTAGACTGATAACATTTTCTCTCTCTCTCTCTCACTGTGTGTTGTCTTGTTGCCATATATAGTGCTAATTCTTGATAAACTATTTCGGTAAATTTCTGGGTTCTTGTTTTTTTGTTAAAGTTTAGCATTGACAAGAATGGCTTAAGTTTAATTGATATCAAGTTCTTGCCAACTGATTTGCCTTTGTGCTATGTTATTTTTTTGTGTTGATACCAACCATCAGAAGCAAGTAACGCTGCATTCAATTCTTTGTGACAATGTATTCGGAATTAATACACACCCACACAAACATTTATTTATATGCATGCCGGAGCGGATCCTGGGTTATGGATTTTAGCCTTTTGAGTTACTACGCTCTAACTTAATAATTTGTATATTAGGAAATGAATTTTTAAAAAAAAATAACAATCCAAAGCTACTGGGTTCTATCGAATCATACCTTCTAACTCTACATCTGCCCCTACATTTAACAGATGGAGTTTTGAGGTCTCAATTTTCTAGACTTGAAGTTGTAGTTTAACAGCGTCGAGTGAACACCTTGTATGTTTGTTTAACAGCATTCTGGCCTACTTCACCGATTAGGCATATACTGGAAGCTTTAGTTAGGATGAAACCTGCATCTTCTGCTTGCTTATGTAAGATACTAGCTAGTAAGAGCTTCAGCTAGTAACGGAGAGCAAGTGGCTAAGCAGTTCAAATGATTTCATTGGCTATTCCTTGTAAAAAAGCAATTTTTCCATTGGAATTCATTGGCTATTCCTTGTAAAAAAGCAGTTTATTTGGACTTTCTCGTTGAATTATCCAACAAAATGACAGAATAGGGATCGTTTTCCTCCTTGGTCTTTCTTGAGCTTTCTGACAAAAGTTTCAACTTTCAACATGCAGTTAGGGATAATTATTTTTCAGCAATTTTACTTTTGTATTCTCAGATTTTATCTTGAATTTCTCTAAGCCATTTGATAATCCACAGGAATACCAAAAAATCACACAGAAAGAATCATTTGAAGCGTATCTGGTGTTGTTGTTGTCGATTCTCGGTCTTGACAGAATCTCAGCTATCTCTTTTCCTAGGTAAGTTAAAATCTTCTTCTTGAGAGACGTTTTACATGTCGGCATTCAATTCAGTTTCCTTGCCATAGTTCTGTTGTTATTGCATTTGATATGAAGTTTAAAAAGAATTGCAAAGGAGCAGTTTATTAAATGTCTTTCTTGAATACTTAAAGCTTCTTATTTCGTAGTATCTGTTATATTTCATAGTATCTGTTATATATAGTCTCATTCTGTTTATCAAAAAGATGTTTATATTATGTGGCAGTGTATAAATTCTTTTTATGAAACTATTTGTTTTCTTTGTTAATCAAAAGGTGTGTGAGAAGAAAAAATTGCTACAATAATTCTATTTTATTTATAAGTGATTTGATTTGTTCATCTTTCTTTGGTATGCTAATTATTATAGATATTTTGATTATTATCATCCTTTCACTTTTAATTTGGTAATCATTTATTTATTTTTTAAAATAGATAATGATGGATAAAAGTTGATTGAATATAAAGAATAGAGTCGACCAAAGGTATAGAGATGGAGTAGACAACTTTCTTAATTGGGCATTCAGTCAACCAACTGTGAACACTACGATTCAGTGTCCTTGTAAAGGGTGTATGAATACCGCGTTCAAGCTAAGGGTTGGTGTAAGAGGAGATTTATTGAGGAAGGGTTTCTAGGATTCTTATAAAATGTGGGACTTGCATGGAGAAGTGTTAGTTAGAGTTGACACTTCTAATACTGCAGTTAGTGATGAAGCAGAAGATGATAGCATTGAAGAGGATAATATTACTGAAATGATTCACGATGCTTTTGGATATACGAATATGGAGGATAATAATAGTAATAATTCAGTGGACAATGAAGAGCCAAATGTACATGCAACAAAGTTCTACAAATTGTTAGAAGATGTTGAGACAGAACTTTATCCTGGTTGTAAAAAAGTCTCGAAGTTGTCTTTTGTTGTTAAACTACTTCACTTGAAGTGTCTTAACCATTGGAGCAATAAATCGATGGATGCATTGTTGAGCTTCTTTAAAGAGTTCTTCCCGAGGGGTCATTTGTGCCAAATTCTTTCTGTGAAGCAAAGAAAGTTCTTTGTGACCTCGGCTTGGGGTACACCAAAATAGATGCATGTCGGAATGATTGTATTTTATATTGGCGTGCTTATGCTGATGTCCAAGCATGTCATAAGTGTGGTAAGTCTAGATGGAAGTATGAAGAACACGGAGGCAAGAAAGTAGCTCATAAAATCTTGCGGCATTTTCCAATCAAACCAAGGCTTCAAACATTGTACATGGCAAGAGAAACTGCTAAAAAGATGAGGTGGCACAACGAGGAAAATATTGATGATGGTGTCGTGCGACATTCGTCTGACTCAGTAGCATGGAAATCCTTTGATGCACAACATCCCACCTTTTCAGCTGAGTTAAGAAATATTCGATTAGGTTTGGCGAGTGACGGGTTCCAACCTTATGGGAACATGAGTTCTAATCATAGTATTTGGCCAGTCGTACTAGCTACGTATAACTTGCCACCATGGGATTGCATGAAAAATCCATATTTCATGATGACACTTCTTATTCCAGGCCCCAAGTGTCCAGGCAATGATATCGATGTATATTTACAACCAATGGTTGAAGAGTTGAAAGAATTATGGGACGGGGTGGAGACTTATGATGCGCACTCAAAATCTAATTTTCTGATGCGTGTGGCTATCATGTGGACGATCAATGACTTTCCTGCATATGGGAATCTTTCAGGATGGTCAACCAAAGGCAAGCTTGCATGTCCTTGTTGTCATAAAGATATACAATCAACTTCCTTGCGTAGTAAGTTGTGTTATATGGGTCATCATCGCTTCCTTCCCATGGACCATCCATGGCGAAGAAGTAGGACGTTATTTGATGGGAAAGTTGAAATGGGAGTTGCACCTAACCCTTTAACCGGTGATGAAGTACTTGTGCAATTACAAGCTTTGGGTAATGTGGCTTTTGGTAAAGGACAAAAGAGAAAGCGTGATGTTCATAAAAATGCTTACAACTGGAAGAAGAAAAGTATCTTTTTCCAATTGCCTTATTGGAAGAGTCTTATGTTACGACATAACCTTGATGTGATACACATCAAAAGAAATGTGTCTGACAATATTATATCAACTGTCATGAATATGGTTGGAAAGACAAAAAACACATTGAAAAGTAGATATGACTTGATGGACCTTGGAATCAGACAAAGGTTGCATCCAATTGAGGATGGGAACAATATTTTGTTACCGGCAGCGTGCTATGCATTGTCCCCGGAAGAGAAGCTGAAGGTATGCAGTTTCTTAGCTAATCTGAAGGTTCCTGATGCCTTTTCCTCAAACATTTCAAGGTATACTCCCCTTCCTCTTAACATAATTTATTTTAATTTTTTTTTTTTATTAAAATTTCGCTTCACTTAAAAAAAGCAAGAGCTTCGCTTCTCGCTTCTCGCTTTAAGCGAAATGGGGGTTGTCGCCTTTCCTCGCTTCACGCTCTTCACAACACTGTGTGAAGAATTGAATGTGCTAATCAAATATATGTAGAATTATGTTGGCTTCTTTCTTAGTTTGAGATGATGTTAAAATATTACTCCTATATTGGTGATTGACTATTCAAATGCAGTCTCTATTAAATTTGATAAATCTCCAAGAATTATTGTTGGAGAATTATTGTTGGTGTTGCAGTGTATTGTTGACACGATTGAAGGTCAGAGCGTAGACAATGTGTGCTATGTCTAACTTCATGCTCATTGGCGGGTAGAGGGTACATGTTTTCCATTTTCTATGTCTTCCAGTTGGTCTAATCCTTATAATTTTCACTTTTGATTTTCTGTAACATGTTATGCAAATTTGCTTCTTTTATTGGTTCGTGCAATGGCGGTTTTTGAATTATGTTAATTTTTGGATGCTTGTGAGCTTTTATTTCCTTGCTTGCTAGTTGCTTTTAGTTGTTCCTTCTGGTAATTGGGTATACAACTTTACTGCTTTCTTTGCCCTTGGTGTATAGTAAATATTCTTCAGACATTCACCTGCACGTTGTTCTTTTGAAATCAAGTATCTGTAATTTCAGTTGAATGGTTTTTTTCTTAAAACATTATTCTGATAGCAGTTTCTTCAAAATCAAGCCTAGGATTTTGAGAAGCTGGGCTGCCTGTTGTTATCCCACATTGCCCAGAATTTTTGTTGTTTATTTATGTGATTAGGATATCGAATATAATATTACATTTATTGTCAGGATAAATTTGAAGTTTACAATGGGCTGCAAGAGCATAGGTTTCAAGCCTTTGTAATTAGCACTATGCAAAGGCTTTTCAGAGCATGGAAAGCTCGACTCAGCAGGTTGTAATCTAAGTACAATACTAATGAAGAAAGATTGTCTCATCGACCTGAAGATGTTGAGCTTGAGGACTGGAAATACCTAATACAATACTTTGGAAGTCGGGATTTTAAGGTACTAACTTAATACCTGAAGATTCTGCCAACCAAAGGGCACCATTCACATCTTTGAAAGGTGATCTATTAATCTGTTTACTTACAGGTTGTAAGTGAGAGGAACAAAAGAAATAGAGAAAAGTAAGTAACTAAGCATACTTGTGGTACAAAGTCTTTTGCAGAAATAGAGGAATCTACGGTAAAAATATATTTAGTCCCCTACTATCACATATGCTTCTTTGTTATTTACGTATTTATATATTTGCTCATATATTTTTTGTCCGAAATTATATTGCAGAGAAATCCTATTACTGGAGAAATAGACACACCAGATAAAGTTTGGGAGATCCAACATACACGGAAGGATGATAAAGGAGAATTGGTGTGGGTGGATCCACAATTCCAACAAATTCACGTAATTATCTAAAATCATAGACTTATTATCTTTCTGTTTCTGTAAGTTACATTCAGTGTGTTTTATAATATTTTGATGTAAATGATTATGTATAAATCCAGGGTCAACTCCAAGAAGTTGTCACTCAGCAACAATCTGAAGAGATCGAGCATCCTATGACTAGAGATGAGATTTTATCCACCGTTCTTGGTGAGAGAACAGGTTATGTTCGCGGAAAAGGATACGGAAAGAAGCCTCCTAAAAAGAGTAACATGCAACAGGCAAGCATAGAGTCCAGTGTGTCTTCCGCTATGGAAATTATGCGTCAAAAGATGCAAGCCGAGATGGATAGAAAGTTGCAAGAAGAACGTGAACAAATGGCTGCTCAGTTGCAAAGAAATATGGAACTTGAGTTGCAAAGGAAGTTGGCAGAGGAGCGTGAACACTCAAGTGTAGAAGTAGACAAGAGGATCCATCTAGAAGTGGACAAGAGGATGCATGAACAATTTTCTAGTTTGATGACCAGAATGCTACAACAGGTACTTGCTCCGCTGCTTCTTAACAATTCTTCTTCCTTCTCGGCATTTCTTCTTCCTTCATTCGGGACAATTCATCTGTCACTTGCTCCCTATCTTCTTGTCAACTTCTCCTTCTTTAACTTTCATCCTCTTGATAATAGACTATTGGGCTGTTTTTTGTTTATGTGAAATCCAGATTTTTGCAAACCTTGGGCTTCAGGGGCTTAGTTGATAATAGACTATTGGGATGTTTTTAGTTTATAAGAAATCTGAATTTTGCAAACCTTAGTTTATGTGAAATATGTACCATAGCTGCTTCAGGGGCTGCTGCTGCGGTTTCTTTGCAAACCTTAGTTGTGTGGGCTACTGCTGCTGCTGTTTAGTTGGTACTTGTGTGGTTTCTCCTGGTGTTGATTCATGACTAAGAGGCCAGTAGAAGGATGTAAATGGAATTGAGAGAGTGGACAAGATGCCAATGAAGCATAAGTTTGTCCTGAATATGAAACCAATAACTCTTTTTAGATAAAAAGAAGTAGAGGAATAGACTTAGTCCCTTAAGTATTGTTATCATTGAAATTTTCCAAATTCACTGTTATTCCTCAATTGACTGGTTAGATGATGGCTGGTGAATGGTAATAAAATTGCATTCTCTTTTTGTGTGATAAAATGTATTGTCCAAAAATAATTTCTTATTGTTACAAAGGAACTAAAAAACTATTAGTACTACCTAAATGGTTGTTTCTTTAGAAAAAAATGAATGAAGAACAATGAAGAAGCAGTTAGCTTTCCCTCATATTGATCCTTATTAAACCTTTGGGCAAACTTAGAGTAAACTGGGAATCAGCTGAGATCCTTTTGCTATCCTTGAAGTTTTTCTATGCATGTTTTTTGATATAAAAATATCATTATGTTCCTTATATATATATATATATATATATATATATATATATATATATATATATATATATATATATATATATATATATATATATATATATATTATTTTTTTAGCAGGGACAAGGCACTTAAACAATGGTATCGTTCAAGGATGGTATCGATCAAGGAGCAATTACAAGGCACTTAATATTTTTGTCTTTTTTGGGATATGTATATGCGTACAATTATATTACAATGCATAGAAGTGTAGTTTTGTATTATGAATTGACCTTTTTAGTAATGAAAATATTTATAATATTCAGTTTGAGAAATTCTTTTGGTATTTTTAAATATTATTGGTTGCTTTTAATATTGGTATTCAAGTTATGTGAATATACAGTCATTAAATTTAGAGAATTCGGTTCGTACCGGAAATATATATAATTTTGTCATTATATAGTTTTTGAGAAGATAAGTTTTAGTGGCGACATTATTTTATCACAAAATATTATGTTAAATTTGCCAATCTTCCTTTTGCAGCGACTTTAGTCGCTACAGAAAGATATTGAGTCTTTCGTGGTTTATTATATTGTAGCAACACGGGTCGCTACTAATAGTTATTTATAGTGGCGGACCTTAACTTGCCACTAAAAAACGTTTTGGCAGCGATAGTAGTCGCCACTAAAGATGAATAGCAGTGGCGACCAAGCTAATTTTCTATTCTTGTGGAGCCATTTTTGTAGCGAGGTTTCTCACCTTTTGTGGCAACTGTGTCGCCACAGAATGTAGGATTTTAGCGGCGACTTTTCTTGTCGCCACAAATATCCTTCAGGCACGCTTTTGCTTGTAGCAACACAAATGTCGCCACTGATAACATTTAGCTGCGACTTTCAGTGATTTTGTAGCGACTTCACTCGCCGCAATAAGGCTAATTTCTTGTAGTGTCCCTTCCCTGAAAAGTGTAACTTTGCACGTAAGTCTTCTATCTCTCTCGTACCTCTTTTCTTCAAATTTAACATCTTCTCTAATTTTACTCCCTTCTCTTTTGTAGCAACCATGGGAGTTGTGGATATCGTCCCCAATTTCCGTGGTTGGGTAGATAAGTTGTTGAAGACTGCGCCTATGGAGGCTAGGTCTTGGAAATCTATTTCCAATCAGTACGGTTGGAAAGTGAAAACTCATGGTAAGAGTTTTTTTTTTTTATTTTTCCGTATGTAAAATCTTCCTTTTATTTCCTTAATTTTCACCCCCTCTTTTTGTTAGGATTTGCAATTCGAGGCGTTTCTGCTGAAGCAGTTGCGGCCTCTCGAGCCTCTTCAAGAGCTCAAATTATATTAGGAAGAGCTCGGGATATACTGGTGAAGAGAAAAACCATGGAAAATGACTCCGAGGAGGAAGAAGAAGATGAAGGCGGCTCTTTAGTAACGAGGCCAAGAGCTAGGAGACGTATTATATCTGATGAAGAAATTGAAGGTTCTCCCCGTGCCTCTCCTACTGAGCATGTCCATCTCGTCTCTGATGACGATGTTACCCCTCAGGATACTCGTGAGTCTATCAACCGACTTTTTGTCAGTGGTTTTTAGAGTGGCGAGTTAGGGCCCGTGTTAGATGAACTTCCCCTTTCTTCTTTTTCAACTCCTGTAACATCAATTCCTCCTCCACATTTGCCTGAAGTTTCTCCCTTACCTACTCCATCTGCTTCTATTCCTTACCTGCTCCATCTGCTCCTATTCCCTCTTCTGTTGTTTTCACTTCTTCTACTGCTCCTCCCTCAGTAGTTCCCCCTTCTATTGTTCATCATACAGAAGCGGGTTCTACGAGCAAAAGTGTTGCCATGAGGAGCGTGACTATTGAAGTTCCCGCCAACATCAGTCTTTTGAGGAAGTCTGGTCAGGCAGACGTTTGGCTCGAGCCTTTGATTGGCTCAATTGAGAAAGAAAAAATGAATAGCCATAGCTGCTTGACTCTAATGAACGACATAGTTCACGCCACTTTGAAGGTATTTTCTTCCTTTATTTGTTTTTGCAAAAAAATTCTTTTTTCCCTTGGATTCTTACTTTCCTCCTTTATTATTTTCAGGCTAATCTTATTGGTACAGAGTTAATGGGCAGAATTTCTCTATTAGAGAAGGTGGCCCGTGACTTTGAAAAGACTATTCTTGAGTCTGAGAAAGTAGCTCGTGAATCTCAATTAGAGGCGGCTAATTGGAAAGGACAGTTTGAGAGTGCACAAATTGCTATAGATGATTTGCAAGAAAATAGGAATAACCTGGAGCAGCGGGTACGAGCATTGACGTCTGAGTTGGCGGTGGTCAAAGCTTCTTCAAGCCAAGTTTAGAAGGACAAAGAACGCCTTGAATGTTCTTTTTCGGAGCAGTTGTCCAAGTCAAGTGAAGAAATTAGAGAGCTAAAAGCACTTCTGAGCGAAAAAGAAGTTTATGCGGGAGATTTGGTGCAGAGTCTGACTCAAACACAAGAAGATTTGAGAATCTCCTCTGACAAGGTGCGTGCCTTAGAAAGCTCTCGTACCTCTCTCCAAGCCTCTTACGATTCAACTTTGGCTGAAAATGAAGAGCTCAAGAATGAACTTGCTGTTTGGGAAAGAGACTATAAGCTTCTCGAAGAAAAACTAGCCGTTGAAGTAAGTTGGGCTTTTCTGAACTCTCGCCGTGATGCCTTGACTGAAGTTAGTCAGGAGAACTTCAACTTAGAGTCAGAATTAGCTAAGGTTATGGAGACGATTGAAAAGGCTCAACAACCACTGGACTTCCCTTCTCCTGCAATTGAAGTTCCCGTGGCCGAAGCTCCTAAGGCTGAAGATCTCGTGGCTCAAGCTCCCGAAGCTGAAACTCTCATGGTTCAAGCTCCTGAAGTTGAGGTTCCAGTTAATATTGAAACTAGTGCAGATACCATAACTCGTCCTCAGCTTACCGAGCCTACTGCAACAAGCCAAGATGAAGCCGTGCCTATGGATGCTCCTTCTATTGATATTGAAGGAGTTACTTCTGATGTTCCTGCTTCTCAGTGACCAGTTTTTTTTTGTAATGAACTTGTTTTTGTTCTTTTTGGAAGGTAGTAATTAAACCCTTTTTTTTAAAGGGTTATTTAGAAGTAAAAGTCCCCAGTTCTTGTTTTGGGGCATTTTGTATAACACAGTTTTAATGACTAAGTTTATACTTAGTCTTTAGATTTAAATATATTAAGAAGTTTTCGGTAATATCATTAAACTTTCATTTGTTCTATTCTTGCCTTTTATTTTCAAGGACTTAGAGAATAATTTGCATTTTTACCCTTTGAAAATGCTTTTTTAATTTATCTCATGACTTAATAACATGAGTTTTATAAAAGAGGGCCCTTTTATATTTCGACACTTAATGAAGAAGACGTCTCAACTTCATAATGGTGTTATTATACGATGAAAGAAATAGGAACACACATGTTTATTTTGAAATAACTTTGACAAGTTCTTATTTCCAAACTTTAACAAGTTTTGAATAACACTTTACATGTATTTGAATTACATCTATAGCTTTCTCGTAACTGTTTTTCTTGTAACAGATTTTTACAAAAGAAGAACAATAGAAACAGGGTTTTTCCTTATAACCCATTTTAATACATAGTCTTTACCCTAACTGTTTTGAGGGTACATTGGATCCCTTTAGCTTCGAAACATTAGGAAGGGTTTGAGAAGTGACTCCATTGTTCTCATGGGAAAGAACACTATGATGAGTGTTTGATGAAAATAATACTATGATGAATGTCATGTCTTCATAGCTTTTATTTTGCACTTTTTCTTCTAGGCTTAAATTTCCATAATTCCTTTTGCCTTCTTCGTACACGTGCCTGTGTATATTATGTAGTCCCCCAAGTGTTTGAGTGTTGAAGTATGAAACCTCGAGCACTTGTTAGTTTCTTTCACCTGGTCCTTTTCCTGAAAAGGAAGAACATACGGGACTCGGGGGTGCGATTATAGATGAAGACTGCTTAACCCGTTTGTATTTCTATCAGAATAATTGTAACCCTGGGCCAGGAATTTTAGTGTATTCCATTTTGCCTTACAGGTCATGACTCATCATTAAGTACGGGTTAGCGTTTTGCCTAGCATCTAAAATCGTTAGTAAAACTTTAACAATTCAAAAATAAAATTTAACATGGCGATACCTGACCGTGGGTATTTCCTTAGAAGTAGTATCTCTTCAAATGAACAGCATTCCAGTGTGAAGGTAGAATTTTTCCATCCATTTTCTCCAATTCATATGCTCCTTTTTCCTGCAATATCACGAACTCTGTAGGGTCCTTCCCATGTTGGACTTACTTTTTCCGAATTGGCAGCCTTTGTAGATTGAAAAACCTTTTTAAGCATGAGGTCCCCGATTTTGAAGAATCTGAGGCGTGCTCTTCGGTTGTAATATCGTTCTATAACTTGTTTTTGTGCTGCCATTCGTATTAGTGTAGCTTCTCTTCTTCCCTCGAGTAAATCAAGATTGACCCGCATCTCTTCACTATTGGATTCTTCCATTGCCTATACAAACCGTGTGCTTGGTTCTCCTATCTCGACTGGAATCAAAGCCTCAGCACCACAAACCAATGAAAATGGCGTTTCTCCTATGCTCGTTTTTGTAGTTGTACGATAAGCCCATAAAACCCTAGGTAATACCTCAGGCCAGTTACCATTTGATTCTTGTAATCGCTTCTTCAAATTGTTGATAATGACCTTATTTGTCGATTCCGCTTGTCCATTACCTACTGGATGGTATGGTGTAGACGTTATCCTTTTGATTTGCCAACTTTGAAAAAATTCCGTGATTTGGGATCCTATAAGTTGTGGACCATTATCACACACAATCTCTTTTGGTACTCCAAATCGGCATATTATGTTCCTCCAAATGAAGTCCTTAACTTCTTTCTCTCGTACCTGTTTAAATGCTCCTGCCTCCACCCATTTAGTGAAATAATCAGTAAGTACGAGCAGAAACTTTACCTGTCCTTTAGCTTGTGGTAATGGACCCTCGATATCCATTCCCCATTTCATGAATGGCCATGGCTCTATGACTGGATGCAATAACTCTGCTGGTCTATGCATGTTGTTACCATACCTTTGGCATTTGTCACATTTAGCCACGAAACTTTCTACTTCTTCTTCCATTTTAGGCCAATAATAACCTGCCCTAATTAAAGTTCTTACCAGTGACCTTCCTCCTGCGTGATTTTCGCAATGTCCCTCGTGTATTTCTCTCATTACGTACTCTGTTTGAGAAGGTCCGAGGCATCTTGCTAAGGGACCGTCGAATATTTTACGGTAAAGATTCCCTTGTTTTAAACAGTACCGAGCAACCTTTTTTCGAAGTGCGTGTGCTTTTATTTTATCCTCAGGGATGATACCATACTGCAAAAAAGCAACAATTTCGTTCCTCCAATCCCAGGTTAAGTTATTAAAATTTACCTCATTCTTATCAGGTTCGAGAACGGAATGAAATAAATGTATAACTGAAGCATTTGCATCGTTTGCCACGTCAGCTGCAGATACGAGATTAGCTAAAGCATCTGCTTCAACATTTTCATCTCTTGGTATTTGTACAACTTTCCAAGTCTGAAATTGCTTTATCAATTCTCGTACTTTTTCTAAGTACTGCTGCATCCTTGCCTCTCTGGCTGTATAAATCCCCAGCATTTGATTAACCACGAGCTGCGATCACTTTTGATTATAATTTGGGTTATGCCGAGTTCTCGTGCCAATTCCAAACCTGCAATCACAGCTTCATACTCTGCTTCATTCTTAGTTATAGAATGACATTTAATAGCTTGTCTAATGGTTTCGCCTATAGGTGGTACCAGAACAATTCCTAGACCTGCACCTTTTACATTGGATGAACCGTCAGTAGATAAAATCCAAGTCCCTGGGTTTGCACCATTGAAACCTTGTAACTCTTTTTCCGCTTCTAATTGCATCCCTTGGCTAAAATCAGCCACGAAATCAGCTAATACTTGAGATTTTATAGCAGTTCTAGGTTGGTAAGTGATTTCGTATTCACTTAATTTAATAGCCCATTTAGCTAATCTCCCTTATAATTCATGCTTATGCAATATATTACGTAATGGGCAAGCAGTTACTACAGTAATGGGATGACATTGAAAATATGGTCTTAACTTTCTAGATGCCATGATTAAAGCAAGTGCTAGTTTTTCTAATTGCGGATACCGTGTCTCTGCATCTAACAAAGATTTACTAACATAATATATAGGGATTGTTTACCTTGGTCCTCTCGGACCAAAACAGCACTTACCGCAACTTCTGAAACAACAAGATAAATAAGTAACCTTTCTCTTGTCTTTGGTTTTGTAAGTAATGTCGGATTTGATAAATATGTTTTCAAATTCCTAAGTGCTTGTTGGAATTCTTCATTCCACTCAAAATAATCTTGCTTCTTCAGAGCTGAGAAAAATTTGAAACACTTCTCTAATAATTTGGAAATGAATCTTCGCAAGGCTGCAATTCTTCCCGTTAGTCTTTGGACTTCTTTTTTACTTGTCAGCACGTCAGGGATTTCCTCTATTGCTTTAATCTGCGCGGGATTTACTTCAATTCCTCGATTAGAAACAAGAAAACCTAAAAACTTACCTGATGCAACTCCAAACGCGCATTTTTCGGGGTTCAACTTCATTTTAAATTTCCGAAGAATTTGAAATATATCAGATAAATGAGATATATGATCCTTAGAATGCTGAGTTTTTACGAGCATATCATCTATATACACCTCCATGGTTTTTCCCAAATGTTCTTGGAACATTTTGGTGACTAGCCTTTGATAGGTTGCTCCTGCATTCTTGAGACCAAAGGGCATTACTTTATAACAGTAAGTCCCCCTATCTGTTATGAAAGAAGTTTTCTCCTCATCTTCAGGGTCATTTTGATTTGATTATAACCTGAATATGCATCTAAAAAACTTAATAGTTCATGCCCTGCAGTAGCATCAATTAGTTGATCTGTATGCGGTGGAGGAAAAGAATCTTTTGGACAAGCTTTATTAAGGTCTGTATAATCTACACTGACTCGCCACTTACCATTCTTTTTAGGCACCACAACGGTATTAGCTAACCAGTTAGGATATTTTACCTCGCGGATAGACCCAATTTTTAATAACTTCTGAACCTCATCTTGAATCACCTGATTTTTGAAAGCTCCTTGTTTTCTCTTCTTTTGTTTGATCGGTGTGAATGATGGGTCTTCATTTAACTTGTGAGTCATTACCTCTGGTGGTATACCTGTCATATCAGCATGGGACCAAGCAAAATAGTCCACGTTAGCTTTTAAAAATTCAATTATCATACCTCTCATATCCGGGTTCAGATTTGCTCCAACATAAACTTTCCGCTGCCATTATTCAAACAATATTACAGCTTCTAATTCTTCAATTGTAGTTTTAATGTTTTCATTTTCTTCTGGCTCTTGAATTGTGTCAGGTCTCGAGTCTATATCTGTCCGTTCCTGCTCAGTTGAGGTTTGAACTGTGGTATCCTCAACTGCTTTCTGTGATTGCTATTTCTCTTCATTCATCGTGCTCACATCTGTCACAGAATTAATACTCCTAGCTGCATGTTGATCTCCACGAATTTTGCAAATTCCCCAAGGTGATGGGAATTTAATAACTTGGTGTAAAGTTGATGGGACAGCATCCATTTCATGGATCCACGGTCTCCCCAGGATCATGTTATAAGACATTTCCATATCTACCACTTGAAATTTGGTTTCTTTAACAACACCTTCTGCAAAAGTTGTTAGTATTACCTCTCCTTTTGTTACTACACTGGAATTATCGAATCCAGACAAGGTATGCGCCTTTGGTATCATTTTTTCTTCAGCTTGCATTTCACGTAATACCCTCAGTAGGATAATATTTACAGAACTTCCTGGATCAATCAAAACTCGTTTCTCATTAGTATCATATACAAGTAGAGATATTACCAGTGCGTCATTATGTGGAGATAATACACCATCTGCATCTGCATCATTGAAGGTAATACTTTCTTCCTCCAAGACTTGTCGTATCCGCTTCCCGTGGGTAATAGTGACTTTAGAAACTTTATTGGATGTTGTGTACGTTACGCCGTTGATATATTCTCCCCCGCTTATGACGTTGATGGTTCTTTTGGGAGATAGTGGTTTTGGGGGCACCTGCCTATTTTTCATGTAAGCCTCCTTGCCTTTTTCACTAAACAACTCAGTAAGATACCCTTGTTTCAACAAGTGATCAACTTCACTTTGTAAAAATCTGCAATCAGAGGTTTTATGACCGTGATCATTATGAAACTCGCACCAATGATCAGGGTTACGCCGATTTGGATTTGACCTCATCTCTTTTGGCCATTGGACCTTATCTCCCATGCTTCTCAAAACAGCTACGAGCTCGGAGGTGCTGGCGTTGAAATTATAACCACCGAATCTTTTCTTTAAACTTCTGTCATCATCTCGTGACTCATGATTGTTTCGCTCGTTCCTAAACCTTGATGAGGAACCTGACTCATTGTTTTTAGATTTGTGATCGTACCTTTAATTATCTGGCCTTGACCGTGAGTCTTTTCCTGCAAGACCTATGTAAGGCTCGTATCTATTTTTAGCGGACCTCCTTTCATTTTCTGCACATCTCGAACTTACCTTTTCCTCTTTTTGGAATCGTGGAACATTGTCCTCTTCAATCTGCAACTTCGTGTTGTACCTATTATAAACATCATTCCATGTTGTAGCAGGGAATTCTCGAAGGATTTCCTTGAGTCTCCTCGTGGCCTCCGAGTTTTTTTCGTTCAAATTACTTGTGAAGGCTATGGCTGTCCAGTTGTCAGGTACACGCGGTAAAGTCATTCTTTCACGTTGAAATCTATCCACGAAATCTCGAAGTAGTTCTGAATCTCCTTGCTTGATTTTGAAGATATCCTCCATTCTTTTTTCTACCTTTTGAGCTCCCGAATGTGCTTTGATGAAAGAATCTGCAAGCTTAGCAAAAGAGTTTATAGAATTTTCGGATAAGAGAGAATACCAAGTTAGCGCCCCTTTGGTGAGTGTTTCACCAAATTTTTTGACTAATACCGATTCGATCTACTGTTTGGTCAAATCATTGCCCTTCACGCCAGTTGTGAATGTTGTCATGTGGTCTCGTGGGTCTGTTGTTCCATCATACTTTGGGATATCAGGCATCTTAAACTTCTTTGGAATTGGAAGGGGAGCAGCACTTGGCTTCCAAGTTTGTTGTGAATATTTATCCATATCCACTCCTTTGATTACAGGCGGAACTCCGGGTATTTGCTCTATGCGGTCATTTTACTCCTTGAGCTGTCTCTGCAGGGTTAGTACTAAATTTTGCAAATGAGGATTAGCTAAATTACCTGGTTCTCCCTCCTGTGATTCACTGGGGGTTCCTCCGTTTCCTGAATTAACAAGCCCAGAACGAGGATTCTCCAATGTGTTGTTATNCTAGGTTCAAGTGTCCTAGGGAGTCTATGAAGCCGTGTCTAGTGGAGTTTTCTTTATATGTGTGTGCCGGCCACTCATATAAACGGTTAACTACCAAGACATCCAGGATTATCTCATTCCTTTCAACTCTAGATCGTGCTATGAAGCTTAGAGTAATAAACCATCTCTTTCTTCGAATTTCAAACGTATTGGATGCCGAGCGACGCGTAGGAGAAACCTAAGGTCCTAGAGAGGATAATTGCCCATTGGGGTATAATTATGGAGTACAGGTTGGTAAATATGAGACTTGAGAGGATGTTAAATGTGGGATGCCAGGCATCTTAAACTTCTTTGGAATTGGAAGGGGAGCAGCACTTGGCTTCCAAGTTTGTTGTGAATATTTATCCATATCCACTCCTTTGATTACAGGCGGAACTCCGGGTATTTGCTCTATGCGGTCATTTTACTCCTTGAGCTGTCTCTGCAGGGTTAGTACTAAATTTTGCAAATGAGGATTAGCTAAATTACCTGGTTCTCCCTCCTGTGATTCACTGGGGGTTCCTCCGTTTCCTGAATTAACAAGCCCAGAACGAGGATTCTCCAATGTGTTGTTATTGGGTGTAGGTGTAAGTGGTGCAGCAGGTAACTGACTAACTAGAGCCTGAACAGCTTTATTGACATGCGTAGCAATTGCTTTTTGTAAAGCCTCATCTACCCCTTCAAAATTCTCAAATTGTTCCTGTCCGCCGGCATGAAACTCAGGAGTGCCTTCACGAGATTGCCGTGGTGAACCACGTGGAGAAGGGACCAGGTTAATGTTTTGTAGATCTCCCTGAACTTGTTGGTTTTGATTTACCTGATTTCCTTGATTGTTATCATTGTTGTTTGCCATAGTTGATGGAAATGGATTATCAGATTCCCGGTAACGGAACCAATTTGTTTAACCAAAAAATAGGTTTTTAGTCAAAACTATAAATTTAGAAGAACACGGGTTACTAATAATCAGAAGAGAATATAAAGAAAGACTTTTGAGAGCAATATGATTAGAAAGCAAGTAAATCAAAGTGTATTCCAATAATATTTTGTGTCTTACAAGTGTTTAACATCCTCCTTTTTATAGTAATTTTGGAGGTATGTGCCTTACCCTTGTCATAATAGGGCTATTATGAGCAATTAATGACATTAAATGAAGTGTTACACAATCATTACATTAAACAAATATTCTCTAACGTTTTTAGTATTTAATACGCATTAAATACTGTATCTGGTCTTTCACAGGCTACCAGATTCATTCCCTTAATTCCCCTTGATCTTTGTGCTTTAAATGTCTTGAATAGGTACGGGCTCTGCATCACCTAAGTAATTGCCCGTGCCTCTTCCACTACCTTTGCTCGCATCTGTTGTTGCTCGTGTCTCTTGGCTAACTTTAATTCTTTGACTGTTTGACTGATCCACGTGTCATGACACGTCATCTTCAATATGTAAACTCGATTTTTCCCAATACAAGGGGCATTTACATCTATACCCGCTTTTTGTATCACATTTTAACTTGTGCCCGCTTTGCAAAAAAAATTACAAGCGTACCCGCTTTTCAGCATAACTTCAGCATACGGGGCTGAAGTAGCAAAGGCAATCATACAAAACTTCAGCATTCTAGTAGACGGGCCTGAAGTTCAGCTCTAGAGCTGAAGTTTTTGTTTTGTAACTGGCGAACTTTTTGTAACTAGAGCTGAAGTTTTTATTTTGTAACTGGCAAGTTTTTGCCTTTCAATTGCCTTTCTTAGGCTTTCTGAGCATTAAGTCTATGCGTTCCTACATAGGCTCCCTGGCCCATCCTGTTAACCGTTCCTCTTCCTTCTACGGTCAAGTATTTCACTTTAAAGAAATAAAGCCATTTATGTGGATCCAAACCATCCCAGACTTGAGGATCTTTCGGCGCTACAATAAAACCTGCAATCTTATATGTAATGTATTGCAAAAAAAAAAATATTAATTGATTATCTTTATATTAGCAAATATATATGTATATAGCAGACAAGTTACGAGCTTAATTTAGAGTATGTGGGTAGAGAGGGAGCATTATAAACCTTATGCCGAAACTGAATAATGATTGCCTTGTACCAGACAAAAGGAGAAGAGCAAGAAAAGCAATTGTATCTATGAATATCTATATTACTGTATATTTACAGCAGCAAAGAAGAAGAAGGAGAAAACGAAGGAGGAGAAAGGGGGTTGAAGTTATTTAAAAAGTGGGTACAAGTTAAAAGGTTTTAAAAAAATGGGTATAGGTTAAATGGGGGCGACCAAATAAGGGCGCCCCGTGCAATTTTTACACAATCACATAAGAAAAAGTTATTAGATCGTATGATTTATCCAAACATTATATCCAAAAAATAATACAATAATATATAATATAATACTAAACGATACATTATACAAAATAATGATAAAACAGTAACCCAAACAAAGTATTAGTTAGTTGATGTACAGTAATAATTATTATTTTTCTTAAAAATAAAAAGGAGAAAACTACGAAAGAAGTGCATCTTGCGCCGTTATTTGCCTTTGGTTTTGACTTTAACGGAGCTCCAATTTTTACTTGCACGTGTCAAAATATATTTGGAAAAAAATTGTCGAATTTTACTCATTTTCTTTTGATTATGGTGCAAAATTACCCTACGTTATAGTTCAAACTCGAATTCCGTTAATATAAAAAATAAATATAATACAATTTGCTAATATAATGGAGTATAAGTTGAGATATTTTGTATAGTAAGGTAATAAAATTAAATCTATATATTATACATGAATGCAACTGCTAGAACAAATACTATCTAGCAGTACTGCTATTGATTACATCTATTAACAGCAACTACACACATATAATAAATCTATTTACAACTCAAGCTTAATACATATATTAACAAAAAATTAGAACCATAATTACTACTCCATTCTTAATCAAAGCTTTCGTGTTCGAGCTCTGGAACGGGGTAAAAAATAACCAGCTACTCTGATCTTATGCCTGTTAAAGCTGCCTTGGATTTCCTAAGTCTCCTTTCTTCAGAAAGCAACTGGGCAAACCTGACAAAAAATTGTTAGGTCAAATCATGTATTCCAAACAAATTAAATAAATTTTTATATTGCTTTTACTATATATATATATATATATATATATATCTAAAAGATGTGTAATGATATTCAGTATAGACAATTTTGAATATACCTTTTCAGAGCTTCTTCATTTGAGCCACTATGTTGGCATGGTTCAAGTAGACCTGTCTGCAAATTAATCCTTGAAACTGTTTTTTTCAACAGATTCTTCCCAATTTCAACTAATTTCTTCATGTTAACCTTCGTTGATATGTCAACAGAGGAATCTGTCCCATTCAATGTGTCATCCTATCATGATCATCAATTACAAAAATAGTGTTAATTAAGTTGGATGATGATTTTAATTTACAGTCAAACCACTCTATAACAGTCTCATTTTTTTCGATATTTTTCGGATGCTATAGTGATCGAGTGTTGTTATAAAGAACATATGTTATAAAAATAAAGACAGCCTGGTGCATTAAGCTCCCGCTATGTGCGGGGCCCACCACAAGGGTCTATGCGCGAAGACCGCTATGTTAAAAATCAATTTCGAGGAAAACTTGACTTTTACAGTGAATGACAGTTATATAGGGATGTTATAGAGAAGTCTGGTTGTATAAGCTCATGTCTCACTTATATTCTCGTTCTATCTTTAATAACATGCATTTATAGTCACACCAATGTTATATATAGCGTTTTTTAAGACAAAAAGTTTCAAAATTGTCAAATTTTACGCTTAAGTTCACATAAAATGAAACGGCTGAATACCTGAATGCGAAGGTAATTATTTTCGGAATGAAGTGCTTGGAGGAGGGCAGAAATATGGAAATCAACCATATCATCACTGGCATGAGTAAGAAGATCCAAGATTGGAGATGAACCACCATAGAGGAGCCATTTGCAAATACCCCATTTTGCTGCTGTTTTAGCATTGTATTTTGGTTTCATTTTTGTTGATGATCCAGTACCTAATGATATCATTAAAAATCGACCATAATCCTCTGGTTTTACAGGAAAGAAATCTGGATTTCCGTGTAGGATTTGTTTGGTCACTTGGCTTGTTGCTACAAGAGCCTGAAATGATCAAGAGTTAGTAATTACATGAACTAATGAGAAATTAAGAAGATTAAAAAGGGTAGATAATTAATTACTGGATTGTTGGCTGCAACTCCACCATCTACTAGATTGAATTCTTGAACGTTGCCATCTTTGTCTTGGTTCTTGAAATAGTGAGCAGGAAGATAAGTTGGAGCTGCAGATGTGCTGATGCATATATCTGATAGCCGAGCATCCATTAATGAATTTTCTTTTGCCTGCATGATGCATGAAATATACGTGCATAATTAGGTCACATGTTCGAGCCGTACGTTACACTCCCTTAGGTCAAGGATGAACTAGCTAAAAATTAAAGATTATTAATTTAGTTTTCTTTTCAAGAATACAAGTTGTAAACAATTAAGATAAATTAAGGAGACCAACCTCAAATGTAGAGAAGACAGTTGGCTGTAAATTCTTGATATCAAAAGTTGGAATAACAATGTTGGTTAAAGTTTCATGCAATCGAGTCTCCCTTAGTTTCTCCTTTATAACTTTGTGAAGATATTTCCCGTTGTACTTTGGTCTCACTAGAGATTTCAGCATCCTTTTTATTGATCCAAGCAATCCTCTGAAAATTAAATAAGCAACTTCAGTCGTCAGTTAAATAAAAAATAAGTAATATATATTATATTGCTAAGTATTTTACCCATTATGTGGAAATATCTTGGGACCATGTTCAAGATAGAAGGGCACAATATCTTTAGCAGCAAAAAGAGGACGTCCCTCTTTATCTGGTGTAGTTAACATAGCCGTCACTAATCCACCAGTACTCGTCCCTGCAATTACATCGAAGTAATCTGCGAGCCTTGCATCCTTTCCGTCCAATTCCTATTATCAAAATTTTTAAGTTGTAATTAGTTTAAAGTAGAGCATTAATTTTGCCAAAACTTGTTATTTATTACTACTTGCTATTCCATAGAAATATCACATAATCTCATTTGTTAGGGAACGTTCTACCCTCAATGTAGGATTTTCCGACGCAAATCTAGACTTAGGCCGGTCCCAATACGGAAACCGAACACCAGCTAATTCAGAAACAAAAGAAAAAAGAATAATGCATGCAATAAGTTCAAGTTGGAAGTTTCTCACCTGAAGTTGAGATTCAAGGTATTCAAGAATGGTGGCAGGTATGATTCCCCTAATGCCTCCTCCATCGATACTAAGAATGGTGACAAGCTTTTCTTCAGTTGGAGACTGAAGACCTTCAAGTGAAGCCAATGTTGTTGTTTTCATCTTTCGTATTGATCAACGCTAAAAAAATATTTTATGACAAATTCACGATACTTTGATTTTTTTCTTCTTTCGTTCTGGGCAAGTGATACTTACATCAACCTTTTATAGGTGTATTTGATCAGAAAATAGAAAGTTTTACAATATTCCCATGATAGAAAGGAAGTAATTAATTGGTACCAAATTTAGAAACAAAAAATAGAAAACTCAGTACATTAATTTTGGAAATTATATATGAATTAGGATTCGTATTAGGAAAAGGTTTTAATATAGTAACATAAATAAGAATCTTGATCCGTTTACTTCGATTGAGTAGGATTCTTTTTCTCGGAAAGTTTTATCCGATAATAATGGGATTAGTACATTAGGAAATCTACGTATACACGATGAGTAGAGCCGTCAATATGGGCTTGGCCCGTTGGGCCAGCCCAACCCAACCCGTGATTTAGCAGGGTTGTGCTAGATTTTTTGGAGCCCGTTTAAAAACGAGGCTTTTAAGCCCGGCCCGAGTAAGCCCGTGAGGCTTGATTGAGGCTGGGTCGGGCCGGCCCGTGGGCCTAATAAAATATTTATTTAAAATATATAAAAAATAAAAAGTATACTGCCTTTAGAGATGGAAAGTCAGAATTGGATCTTTACTAAGAGGAACCAAAACTTGATCTTGAGAAGTTTCAAGAGATAATGTTGTCATGTATTGGAAGAACCATTCTAGAAAATAACCCGATCTTTCAATGATGGTGCGTGATGTACTTAGCATTCTTATTACCATTGTACCATCGGAATCAACATTTAGCATTGGTGGCATGTTCTTACAAAGTACAGAAGTTGCATTTATTATGAAAAAGTCCAAACACTTGTTACTACTAGAAATTGGCTGCACAGGTTTTCCCGAACTCAAACTGGTAATATTTTTTTATGTGAATTTAAATATTATTAATTTTAAAATTTAATTATTTTTAATATTTAACTAATTAATATTGCATATGAATTGTAGATGAAAGTGAAGATGTTAAAACAACCTTGTCACAAAGCGGATTCAAATGTGTTTGATGAAGATGATGTGTTGGATATCTCATAAGCATCCTGAACGTTCTCTTGAATAGTTTGTTTTAAGTTTTGACTTTTAGTGAATGAAATATATTCATGTCTTTTACTTTTTTTTTTTGTATTTATTGTGATATATTGAAACAATATAAAAAGTTATTAAGTTTTGCGAATTTTTTCCAATAAAATATTTTTAACTTTTAAATAATTATCTTTTTTAGGTAGAACTTAAAGAAAATATAAAATTATATTTTTTAAAAATAATGGGCCGGCCCGTAGGGACCCGCGGCCCACATAGGGCTGGGGTGGGCTGACCATTATAAGGCCCATCAAAATGGTGGGCTAACCCAGCCCAGCCCGTCAATTGCTAAAGCCCACGTGGGCTGGGTTGGGCTAGCCCGGCCCGGCCCATATTGACAGCTCTAATGATGAGGATATATCTATCTATCTATCTATCTATCTATCTATCTATCTATATCTATCTATCTATCTATATCTATTCTATATTATTATAAAAGCACGAATAATAATGTTGACATACGAAAATATCCTTGAATCATTAATGTTTATTTCTTTTGGCAAAGACCATAATTGTCATTACAATAAAGAGTTCTATTAAAATAAGAATTAACCGAGTAAAACAAAAGCTTTTAAGGAGTCCTTATCAAACTGCACGTTATTATTCCCCTAAAATATTAGGCCAAAAATTCAGGAGCTACTAATTTGTTTAATTTTATTATTATGAAGCACCTTAATCAATTACTTCTTTTCCCACTAAAGACACGTCTAATAAAGCATGTACTTTCAAAGGAATTAGGACTATCATCTATCAAAAGGAACTGGATAGATTTTCAAATGCCGTTAATAAAAAATTGACCAATTCTAAGCTATTCACTGTCAATGATTTTCTTTGTTTCAAATCATTTGCAAACCACAAGGCTATAACACCGCAATGGTAATATGGTACGATGAATTCAAATAGTGTAATATATAAAATAATACCAATTATATCGCAAACGGCAATCGTGAAGCACAAAGAATTTGCCACTCGCTTGATTTAGAAAAGAAATACGAAGGTAGTGCAAGAAAAACATAAATCTCATTGTCTATTAGAATATGCAGTTTCATCTATTATCGAATTTATATAGACCTAGGCATTTATTTATTGTTATTTACAAATATATCATCAAATGTAGTTACCTATTTCTTGGACTACAATATCTTCTTTGCTAATTTTTAATATTTAAGATTTAAAATAAAATAAAAAATCTAATAAATTCTTATTAAAAATATGTAGGAAGATTTAATAAAATTAGTTTCATAAGAATCTTCCGCATTAGCAATACATTACCACTCCATAATGTAGAAAAAATAAAAGTAGTATTAAATGGACTGCATAAAGAGTTATTGAGAGAAAAAAAAACCACGATAATATATTTTTATATTATATTTGATCTATTTTCCTACTCAAATAATAATTTTTTAGCAATTTTTTGTGTAATATTAAGAAATTCTCAATTATTAAAGAATAACTAAGAAAATATTTAAGAATATAAATGTATGAGAAAGAGAAAAAAATAGCTGGTAAGAATCAATACCACTGATGATTCTATAGACATAAAGATCTATAAGTAAAATGTCATATCAATATTTTACTCTTTGAAAATAATATTTATGGTGGATAAAAGTATAAGTAAGATTAAATATTCAAATCATTTATGGTCTTTGCCAAAATGAACTAATATTAAGATCTAAATCAACATAGAATAATTATGTTTTATGTTAAAATCAAATAATTAAATCTTTTAATTAATTATTTAGCAAGAGAATCCAAGTCAATTATTTTTTATAAATTCCTCATATGAGTAAAATTCTTATTTAAGTTTAAAAAAATCTTAGGGTACATAAATTTATTCCATAAAAAGAGCATTAGCACACAATGTAAAAAGGTTAACATATTATTAAGAATCAAAATGTTATACAAGTGTAAGAGGAAGCGCAATCAAAGCTAAATTCTAAATAAGAACAAGCTTTCAATACTATATTATAAAGACTCGACTTTGCTATAACAAAATTATTCCTTGTAGATGCACCGGTGAAATCGAAATAATATTTCTATGTCATGCATTATTTGCAAATATCATATCAAGAGGCATGACACTGCTACCAATAATAGCAAGTGATGTACCAACAATAATTTTTTTGTGAGCCCCACCACTTTAGATTTGATATACCTTTTCAAAGAAATCAAATAACCATCACAAATATATCAAAACAGAGCAATGATGCTGAATTTATAAAGAAAGCAAAATTAAAAATATGGGATGAAGCACTTATGGCTAAATGCCAAATGATCGAAATAATTGCCCGGAGTTCTAGAGATATATTGAATATTAATGAACCGTTTGGTAAAAATTAATGGTTCGAGAGGCAATTTATATCAAGTACTACCAGTAGTTCCAAAATCGACAAAAGCAGAGACGATAAAACTAGCTTGCCAATGTTATACTTCTGGCCTCAAATGAAAAAAATTCAACTGATAAAAAATATAAAGTAAGAACAGATCCAGTATTCAGTGTCTTCTTACTTCGTTTTGGAAACGAAGAAGAGCATCCAATAAAAGAAATTTTGGTTCTTGCGGAACACTTGGTTATCAATCCCAATGGTAATAGTAGTGATTTAATAAGAGAAATATTTCTATCATTAGATTTAAACACAATTTGTGCAAATCACATGATAGAATTAAAAAGATATCCTAGCTAACAGAAATGAATGTGTTGATCAATTCAATAAAATATTGATTGCAAAATTTTATAGTAAAAATAAAATATTTTTCTATTTTTTACTTAGCGGAAAATGTTACCAATAATTGCTACCAAGAAGAATACTGAAATACTTTAATACCAAATGGCCTCCTGCCATATATGTTTGTTGTCAAGTTTATTATTTTTTACGTATGTTAGTGTCACCGTATATATAATAAACTAAGTTAAAATTGATCTTCCATTCAATATAGGTTGATTATGAAGAAAAATATGCCTGTTGTGCTACTGAAAAACTATACGTCAAATAGCTTATGCAATAGCACACATACGGTATATAGAAGTTTTGACTATCCATGCATGCAAAAATTATCATGATACTGGTCAATGTACTTCTAAGTATATTCTTATCCCCGAATTCAACTTTCGTCTTTTGAAACAAAAAAAAGTGTTCGGTAAGATACCATCACATTAGATACATTTATAATACAATACATAATTATCTACTTAACATGACTAAAATTGATCATTCATGTAAGTTCCAATGATATTCTTTCATTTTAAATTCACGTATTATGCTAATGTAACAATATTTTTCGACATTTAGATGATTGTTGAAGTATTACATATAAATTTTCTCTCATCAATTAAATTTTATTTTTTTCATATAAATAAATATTTAAATCATCATATGCCATTATTAACGTGCAACGCATGTTTATAGATACTAGTTTTTGAAAAATACTGTAGTTAAAAGATTTCAAATAGGATGCCGCGTGCCGAGAAATTTTACAATGTGGGAGACATGCCACCTAATACTTGTGTGGGGGACTAATAAATAAAGTGTGGGCCCCAAAATCCCAGCCGTGTTCCGCTGTAAACAAACCAAACTCTATCTCAGAATCTAGTTTGCCAAATTTGGTGTGAAGATGAAAATATGTTTACACATATATTTTCAAAATATATTTCACTTTTTTTTTAAAAAAAAATATGAAATATGACTTATATTTACAAATTCTAAAAACTATCACAAATATCCAACAATACGTTTATCATTAACATTCATTATATTATCGCAAACCATATCCTGAACATAAATAAATTTGTTATAAAATAATTATTTTTATAATGAACTACATAATAACACTATCAGATGACCGAGAAGACGAAACAACATTGTTACAAAAATAATAAATG